TCTTTATGTGACAATAAATTGTTTGTAAAAAAAAATGAATTTACCTTTTAGGAAGTTTTAGAAAGTGATACCTATTTATTTATAACCGTTACTATTGTGTTGATGGTGATGCTGAATTTTTTGATAAGTGTAAGCCCTTTTTTTTTTTTTTTTTTACCGGTCGAAAAGTAAATTGTGGGTTTTTTTTTTTTTTGGGGGGGGGGGTAGGGGTTAAATTTGGCTCAGGGATTTTGGAGGGTTTTGATTTTGCCTCCATTATTTAACCTTTACCTTTAATCTCGTTACCAGATCTCAGCCAGGTTTACACTGAAAAGTTTGCCATGGGAGATCTGGGTCACTGGGTCAAGACTACCGGTTCTGGTACACTCCTGTCACTTGGAATCTGGGGGAATCCCACCAGGGAATTAGCCCTGCCTAGGGAGGTTCTTAATAAAAATTATACTATAACCATTTTTATCTTTACAAGGTATTTTACAAGGGGGTAGCTTTCATTAACTGTATTCCACATCATGATATAGGGGCTGGAAACATTAACTACGTCAAATTCCGTTTTTTTTTTTAAGTACGGGAAAATCAACGATGCGAGGAGATATTTTAATTTCAATTTCACAAGGATGATGACATGTTTAATTTTTTTTCTTTTTTCCTTTTTGCATTGCACGCAAAAGCTCTAAACACAGGGATGTCTTGAAGGGAATTTTGGGATCCGGGATTTGGCCAAAATACGGTGCGGGATTCGAGAAAACTCAAAAATTCTTAACAGGAAATGGGATCTGTCGACTGTTACCTGGGAAGCGGTATTCACGAAATTTGGGCATAGGACGCGGGATATTTTTTGCCCCTCTGTCGGGAAATCGGAAATCGTACGTTCTAACGGCAAATGCCAAACAACCAGGCGAGCTTTGAGTGGTGCCTCCTCTCCTCTCCTATCCTTCGGTGTGAAACTGATGTAAAACATCCTATATTGTCCCGGACCACACCCATGTCATGATCACTACCAAGTGAAGTTAAGTGTAATAAGTGTAGTAGCTGTAGTAAGTGTAGTAAGTGCTAGTGTAGAAGCTGTAGTAAGTGTAGTAGCTGTGGCAAGTGTAGTAGTTGTAGTGTAGTAAGTGTATTAGCTGTAGTAAGTACTAACCCATCTTTTCTCCCTCTTCGTTTCTACCGCTTAAATTCACCCCTCCCCATTCGTCATAAAAATATCAATTGAAAAGGCCAATCTACATCTTACGTTTTAATCTTTTGCAGCAATTACTCTTTTTTAACTTATGTATTTTGGAAACGAAAAACGGGATTCGGGAAAGCAATGAAAAGGAGTGCTGGATGCGGTATTTTCGTGAAAAGGGAGTGGAAATGCGGGAACAGGATACCCCACCCCCCCCCCCCCCCCCCCCCAGACCCCGAACACAGTGACATGGAGAATGTAAAAATACTTGGTTATTGCTTTTGCTTATGTGGTGGCTCCTAAAAGAGCCGTTTGTTTGTAAAGAAGTGTCGCACTTTACTTCTTGGCGGTTTTTTTGGCGGCAGTTTTCTTGGCGGGCTTTTTGGCTGCAGGCTTCTTTGTCTTCTTTCCTGTAGCTTTCTTGTCGGCTGGTTTCTTTGCTGCAGTCTTTTTAGGTGTCGATTTCTTACTGGGCTTTTTAACTGCTGCTTTCTTGGCTGGCTTCTTCTTAGCCGCTGGTTTCTTCGCCGCTGGCTTTTTAGCCGCGGGTTTCTTTGCTACCTTCTTGGCGGCGGGCTTCTTTGGCTTCTTCGCTGGTTTCTTCGGAGCCTTCTTTTCCTCCTTGGGCACCTTGAAGGAACCAGAAGCGCCAACTCCTTTGGTGTGTACTAACTTTCCACCAGCAACTCCTCTCTTGAGAGCCGTCTTCAAGTGTGGGCCGACCTCGCCAACCTTGTAGTTGGCTTTGATGTACTTCTCGATGGCTTGGCGCGAAGATCCGCCTCGCTCTTTCAGAGCTACAATAGCAGCTTTGATCATCTCACTGTATGGGGGGTGATCAGCTGGCTTTTTAGGCTTAGATGGCTTCTTCTTAGCCGGTGACTTTGCTTGTGCTACTTCAGACATGATGGAGTTTGAACGATACCTTCGGATACGAAAGAACTGATGCTTCGGATGCTGTTAGCTGATGTAAATTACTTGTATGCGGACCACTGAGGAGACAGCAAACGAACATGGCGCCCGATTCTTCTGTGCTAGTTTTCTGTGGGTTTTGTCAAATAAAGTGATGTAACAGAAAAATTAATCGCTTCTAAAATTAAAAAATTGAACGTTAAGTCTTTGAAGAACTGATTACCTTAAATAAGTGCGAGGTAAGGCAAGTATAAGAAATAATAAATGACCTTTTATCCTTCCCCTTCGGTCAATTTTGAAACAATTTTATCTTTTAAGTCGTATAACTGTTGCTCCTGCGACCTTTTTTTCTGTGTAGAAACATTTGGGAGATAGGAGAACTATTACACTTCAAGTCTCTTGCTATAATCTTCACATTATCTCTCATTTAACCTGGTTTAAACTCTCTTTTGTCATCGTAACAAGGACAAAGTCGCTTGCATCCATTCGCAAGGGAGAGAAGTCGAGAGAAGGCTATTACGATCCCGGAGTACGATGAGCTGGTGCTTATCAAATCCAGGGAATTTCATTTTCGTCTGAACGTTTCAACTGTTTGCCGATAAACAGGACCGAGTTTGAGAGCATTTCAACAAGACCAAACTTCATAAGTTGTTGAAATTCAGGCTGAGTGTCTAAATGGTCACAGGCGGTCAAGATTTTCGAGATCTGATTAACTGTAGGTAATTTTTTTAGTGAGTCACTAGCAAAAACACCGACGGTTCGATGTGCATTTAACTAAGGTATATCAAAATTTCCTTCCACTGGCAGATGCAGCGATCTTATGTTAGTAGACAGTGAATATAGATGTTCGTTTGGAACCATTTTGTGTTTCAAAAAATGAGCGGCAGTCAGCTGTTAAAATATTGTTAGAACTGAAAGGTCAGTTTTTAGTCATGGAGATAAGGTTAACCTTCCTTCTGATTTACTTTTATGACTGGAACATTTTATATTTATTGGGCCATGTTATGATCATATTTTCTGAGGGGTTGGCGGCTGTACACGGTAAAGATTTTTAAAAAAGAAAGAGCGCCTCATTCACTAGCTATTTTTTAAATCCTGCGGTTTCCGTTTTTATGGATATGTTTTCCCTGAGAATATTCAGACAACTTTGTAGTGTTTTTACAGATTTGATTCACTAACCAATTTCATGCGCATAAAACTAAATATCCTAAATAAATCGCGCGATCAATTGGGAGAATTCATCGGCAGGGAACAAAAATAGGTAAAGTAGCTTTTTTCGCATCATTTGTTACCAAGTTAAACCGATAAAACATTTGTATCATTTTCGTTGATTTCTGCCTTCTAAGTTCCTTACTTAAAAATTCTTGTTACAAAAATATCTTACTCATTCTTGGAGCTGCGAAAACGGTTTGGCTTGTTATAAGAAAGAAAATTTTAGACCTTCGACTCGCCATAGCTTTTGTGCCTAAAGGAGTGGAAACATGGAAGGACACAAAATTCATTTCTGTTGGTTATTGCTTTTATTGATGTGGTGGCTCCTAAAAGAGCCGTTTTTGTTGTAAGTATTGGAAGCAATCGACTTATGCACGCTCTCCGCGGATTCGGCGGGCCAACTGAATGTCTTTGGGCATGATGGTGACACGCTTGGCGTGGATGGCGCACAAGTTGGTGTCTTCAAACAGACCAACGAGATAGGCCTCGCTTGCTTCTTGAAGAGCCATCACAGCAGAGCTCTGGAAACGCAGATCGGTCTTGAAGTCTTGAGCGATTTCTCGCACAAGACGCTGGAAGGGCAGCTTGCGGATTAGCAGCTCGGTGGATTTCTGGTAACGACGGATTTCTCGAAGAGCCACTGTACCAGGCCTGTAACGATGAGGTTTCTTGACTCCTCCAGTGGCAGGCGCGCTCTTACGAGCTGCCTTTGTGGCCAGCTGTTTTCGTGGAGCTTTTCCACCAGTTGATTTACGGGCAGTTTGCTTTGTACGTGCCATTTCTGCTAACTCAAAAGTCAACGAATAATTTTTCGACGGTAATCCCTAATACTTTATTCTTAGCGCGCTATTTCCTGATTGGTTATAAACTATGCAATTTCATTGGATAACCAAAACTGCTTGCAAAATAGTCTCATGATCTGGGATTGCATTTCGATCCTGTATGCCACTTAAGGTTTTTTTATTCGTGGGAAACAATAATTTGTTAGCTTTCCTTCTTAGTTGTTAGAAAATATCATCATAAGATTCGTCGAGGAGTTAAGTCGCACGTTTGTTAGTGATAATGTGAAGTTTTTGCTCCTCCAACATGTTCGGTCTTGTCTGGTGAGGCAATAGATGGTAATGATTATCTTGACCTCATGGCTCTTTTGTTTCTATCCACCAATGGCGAACAACTAATCACACTTCTTTTAGCCTGTTTCCCGTGAGGTCATTGTTTGTGGTATAAAAACAAGAATTCTCAATGTTTGAGTCATTATCCTGGTTCAAGATAGAACATCAACATGTCTGGTCGCGGTAAAGGAGGCAAAGGTCTAGGAAAAGGAGGCGCCAAGCGTCACCGAAAGATTCTTCGTGACAACATCCAAGGCATCACCAAGCCAGCTATCCGTCGTCTTGCTCGCCGTGGCGGTGTCAAGCGAATCTCTGGCCTCATCTACGAAGAGACTCGTGGTGTTCTCAAAGTTTTCCTTGAGAATGTGATCCGTGATGCTGTTACCTACACCGAGCACGCCAAACGCAAGACTGTGACCGCCATGGATGTGGTGTACGCTCTCAAACGCCAAGGACGTACTCTGTACGGATTTGGCGGTTAGATCTTTGCGTTACCCACCCAAACAAACGGCTCTTTTAGGAGCCACCAAATCTTTAAAAGTCGTAGCCAATAAAGCGATATTACTCTCGTATTTAATGTACACCGCGCGTGGGGTTTCTCGTTGAAGAAAAGACAGTCAGTAATATTATTTTTCATTTTTGTACGATGTCGTTGTAGAGGTTCTAGCAAAGATGCGTTTTTGCAACAAAGCAATCAACTGTATAACGGACGCTGGTTGAGGCATAAAGACAAAAGAAAAACAAATTGCGCGCCGGCGTCGTTATAAACTAAACAGATTTGCATTTGATGTAACGCGGTGATCTATGAGACACTACGGAAAACCCATCGCCATTAGATGCACATGTTCGAACTTTAATATTTATATGTATTTCACATATTTTACTGATCTTTTTCACATAAGCCTAATTTCTACCCCTCTCTAAAATGTCAAAATATTGCCGTTTCATGGGCGGTTTATTTTCAACTAATCAACGCCTAAACCCAGTAACTTTATTTGGTGAATTCTTCTATAGAACGGAAGCACCCAGTTAAGCCACTAAAGCCTTCTGTTTTGATCAATGGAGTTTTAACCGTAAGTTATAAGGATTATCATGCAAGCTCAATCAGGGGTTACTTTCTGGCTTCACTGACTTATTCAAAGAAGAATAAATCTACAAATGGGTTGATATGTTTTTCTTTTTATGGTCATGACTTTTTTAAATGTGGTGGCTCCTAAAAGAGCCGTTTGTTTTAACGCAGCGTAGGACTGTTTAGGCTTTTGGTTTCTTCTCCGTCTTCTTGGGCAGAAGAACAGCCTGGATGTTGGGCAGAACACCTCCTTGAGCGATGGTGACGCCGGCAAGCAGTTTGTTCAACTCTTCATCGTTGCGGATCGGTCAATTTTGAAACAATTTTATCTTTTAAGTCGTATAACTGTTGCTCCTGCGACCTTTTTTTCTGTGTAGAAACATTTGGGAGATAGGAGAACTATTACACTTCAAGTCTCTTGCTATAATCTTCACATTATCTCTCATTTAACCTGGTTTAAACTCTCTTTTGTCATCGTAACAAGGACAAAGTCGCTTGCATCCATTCGCAAGGGAGAGAAGTCGAGAGAAGGCTATTACGATCCCGGAGTACGATGAGCTGGTGCTTATCAAATCCAGGGAATTTCATTTTCGTCTGAACGTTTCAACTGTTTGCCGATAAACAGGACCGAGTTTGAGAGCATTTCAACAAGACCAAACTTCATAAGTTGTTGAAATTCAGGCTGAGTGTCTAAATGGTCACAGGCGGTCAAGATTTTCGAGATCTGATTAACTGTAGGTAATTTTTTTAGTGAGTCACTAGCAAAAACACCGACGGTTCGATGTGCATTTAACTAAGGTATATCAAAATTTCCTTCCACTGGCAGATGCAGCGATCTTATGTTAGTAGACAGTGAATATAGATGTTCGTTTGGAACCATTTTGTGTTTCAAAAAATGAGCGGCAGTCAGCTGTTAAAATATTGTTAGAACTGAAAGGTCAGTTTTTAGTCATGGAGATAAGGTTAACCTTCCTTCTGATTTACTTTTATGACTGGAACATTTTATATTTATTGGGCCATGTTATGATCATATTTTCTGAGGGGTTGGCGGCTGTACACGGTAAAGATTTTTAAAAAAGAAAGAGCGCCTCATTCACTAGCTATTTTTTAAATCCTGCGGTTTCCGTTTTTATGGATATGTTTTCCCTGAGAATATTCAGACAACTTTGTAGTGTTTTTACAGATTTGATTCACTAACCAATTTCATGCGCATAAAACTAAATATCCTAAATAAATCGCGCGATCAATTGGGAGAATTCATCGGCAGGGAACAAAAATAGGTAAAGTAGCTTTTTTCGCATCATTTGTTACCAAGTTAAACCGATAAAACATTTGTATCATTTTCGTTGATTTCTGCCTTCTAAGTTCCTTACTTAAAAATTCTTGTTACAAAAATATCTTACTCATTCTTGGAGCTGCGAAAACGGTTTGGCTTGTTATAAGAAAGAAAATTTTAGACCTTCGACTCGCCATAGCTTTTGTGCCTAAAGGAGTGGAAACATGGAAGGACACAAAATTCATTTCTGTTGGTTATTGCTTTTATTGATGTGGTGGCTCCTAAAAGAGCCGTTTTTGTTGTAAGTATTGGAAGCAATCGACTTATGCACGCTCTCCGCGGATTCGGCGGGCCAACTGAATGTCTTTGGGCATGATGGTGACACGCTTGGCGTGGATGGCGCACAAGTTGGTGTCTTCAAACAGACCAACGAGATAGGCCTCGCTTGCTTCTTGAAGAGCCATCACAGCAGAGCTCTGGAAACGCAGATCGGTCTTGAAGTCTTGAGCGATTTCTCGCACAAGACGCTGGAAGGGCAGCTTGCGGATTAGCAGCTCGGTGGATTTCTGGTAACGACGGATTTCTCGAAGAGCCACTGTACCAGGCCTGTAACGATGAGGTTTCTTGACTCCTCCAGTGGCAGGCGCGCTCTTACGAGCTGCCTTTGTGGCCAGCTGTTTTCGTGGAGCTTTTCCACCAGTTGATTTACGGGCAGTTTGCTTTGTACGTGCCATTTCTGCTAACTCAAAAGTCAACGAATAATTTTTCGACGGTAATCCCTAATACTTTATTCTTAGCGCGCTATTTCCTGATTGGTTATAAACTATGCAATTTCATTGGATAACCAAAACTGCTTGCAAAATAGTCTCATGATCTGGGATTGCATTTCGATCCTGTATGCCACTTAAGGTTTTTTTATTCGTGGGAAACAATAATTTGTTAGCTTTCCTTCTTAGTTGTTAGAAAATATCATCATAAGATTCGTCGAGGAGTTAAGTCGCACGTTTGTTAGTGATAATGTGAAGTTTTTGCTCCTCCAACATGTTCGGTCTTGTCTGGTGAGGCAATAGATGGTAATGATTATCTTGACCTCATGGCTCTTTTGTTTCTATCCACCAATGGCGAACAACTAATCACACTTCTTTTAGCCTGTTTCCCGTGAGGTCATTGTTTGTGGTATAAAAACAAGAATTCTCAATGTTTGAGTCATTATCCTGGTTCAAGATAGAACATCAACATGTCTGGTCGCGGTAAAGGAGGCAAAGGTCTAGGAAAAGGAGGCGCCAAGCGTCACCGAAAGATTCTTCGTGACAACATCCAAGGCATCACCAAGCCAGCTATCCGTCGTCTTGCTCGCCGTGGCGGTGTCAAGCGAATCTCTGGCCTCATCTACGAAGAGACTCGTGGTGTTCTCAAAGTTTTCCTTGAGAATGTGATCCGTGATGCTGTTACCTACACCGAGCACGCCAAACGCAAGACTGTGACCGCCATGGATGTGGTGTACGCTCTCAAACGCCAAGGACGTACTCTGTACGGATTTGGCGGTTAGATCTTTGCGTTACCCACCCAAACAAACGGCTCTTTTAGGAGCCACCAAATCTTTAAAAGTCGTAGCCAATAAAGCGATATTACTCTCGTATTTAATGTACACCGCGCGTGGGGTTTCTCGTTGAAGAAAAGACAGTCAGTAATATTATTTTTCATTTTTGTACGATGTCGTTGTAGAGGTTCTAGCAAAGATGCGTTTTTGCAACAAAGCAATCAACTGTATAACGGACGCTGGTTGAGGCATAAAGACAAAAGAAAAACAAATTGCGCGCCGGCGTCGTTATAAACTAAACAGATTTGCATTTGATGTAACGCGGTGATCTATGAGACACTACGGAAAACCCATCGCCATTAGATGCACATGTTCGAACTTTAATATTTATATGTATTTCACATATTTTACTGATCTTTTTCACATAAGCCTAATTTCTACCCCTCTCTAAAATGTCAAAATATTGCCGTTTCATGGGCGGTTTATTTTCAACTAATCAACGCCTAAACCCAGTAACTTTATTTGGTGAATTCTTCTATAGAACGGAAGCACCCAGTTAAGCCACTAAAGCCTTCTGTTTTGATCAATGGAGTTTTAACCGTAAGTTATAAGGATTATCATGCAAGCTCAATCAGGGGTTACTTTCTGGCTTCACTGACTTATTCAAAGAAGAATAAATCTACAAATGGGTTGATATGTTTTTCTTTTTATGGTCATGACTTTTTTAAATGTGGTGGCTCCTAAAAGAGCCGTTTGTTTTAACGCAGCGTAGGACTGTTTAGGCTTTTGGTTTCTTCTCCGTCTTCTTGGGCAGAAGAACAGCCTGGATGTTGGGCAGAACACCTCCTTGAGCGATGGTGACGCCGGCAAGCAGTTTGTTCAACTCTTCATCGTTGCGGACAGCAAGCTGGAGGTGACGAGGAATGATTCTGGTTTTCTTGTTGTCACGAGCAGCATTGCCCGCCAACTCGAGGATCTCAGCGCTCAAATACTCGAGCACCGCGGCCAAGTAGACTGGGGCACCAGCGCCAACACGCTCAGCATAGTTGCCTTTGCGAAGAAGACGGTGGATACGTCCAACAGGGAACTGAAGTCCTGCTCGGGATGATCGGCTTTTGGACTTGGTGCCCTTTGCCTTTCCTTTACCGCGACCAGACATGTTTTCACAACAATCGTTTAGCTCGAAAATGCACGAGTGAATGGACTGAACTTACAAACCTAACCGTTTATACGCGCGGTAAACTTTGAATGGGATCGAAACGCACCAATCAGACTTAACAATTTTAAGTGTCTAATGAAATATGATGATTTATACAGGAAGCATATTGACCTTGAAATAAAGCAACCAATTAAAACTCAACGATTTCGATCCGTATGTTAATTGATCCCCTAATGGTTTTGATATAAATAGAATCTGGGTCAACTCATTGCATTCACTTCCATTCTGATCGACAGACATGGCACCCAAAGTTGCAGGAAAGAAAGGCGAGAAGAGAGCTGGAAAGGCAAAGGCTCCATCTGATGGAAAGAAGAAGAGGAGGGGAAAGAGAAAGGAAAGCTATGCCATCTACATCTACAAGGTGTTGAAGCAAGTTCACCCTGACACTGGTATCTCCAGTAAAGCCATGGGCATCATGAACTCGTTTGTCAACGACATATTCGAGCGCATCGCCACCGAAGCTTCCCGCCTTGCCCACTACAACAAAAAATCAACCATCAGTTCTCGCGAGATCCAGACCGCCATCAGGCTGCTTCTGCCCGGTGAACTGGCAAAACATGCTGTCAGTGAAGGAACCAAGGCTGTGACCAAATACACCAGCAGCAAGTAAACTCACTTTGTGGGTTTACCGCCAAAACAAAACGGCTCTTTTAGGAGCCACCAAATGTCATAAAATTCATGACCAAATTCAATGATATTATTCTAATTCCCGCCCCTAGTAGCCTGTTCACTGACTCTCTATTTTCTCTTAAAAGTCCGTCGAGCGCTCGTGATAAAAATAAAACCCCTTGTCCAAAAGTTGGCTTCTCTAAGCGACGAATAACCGTAACGAACATTTTCAAACTCCACACAAATCAGTCACTTAATGATTCTAAATCGGTGATAAGCAACTCTTTAAGAATTTCAGTAATTTTAAAATATCTCAGCAAAGGATGACACAACTTTTAGAAATAATTCGAAAATGCTATATTAGCAATGGTATGGTAAGCTTATAAAATTTACTCGCCGCGTGACACTGTGTATACACCGAAGTCTTGCATAGCGTTTTCCTAGGGGTGAGGGGAGAGTTTGTTGTGTGTCAGTCAACTTTTCGGCTCTCACGCCTCGCGTTAAACTGCATCTCATGTGAATCTGCGTGTCCGACTTGAGGTTTCATTCCGTGACTTGGACTGCAAAACAGTCGGTTTTTTTCTCAAAATCGGTAAAGAAATCGGTAAGGCGTGGCGTGGCGTAAGAGTCTTACGCGCGCGAAATGCGCGAGTCTCTCTCTCTCGCTCTCTGTTTTCATCCTCGTTCCAGACTTTCCAAACCTTTTGTTTGGCTGCTCGCGCGTACTTGAATACACAAAAATACGGACTGTTTTGCAGTCTACTGACTTTAAGATTTAAATCTTCTCAATCACATCTTATTCTTACCTATGAATTGCGCTGCTTCATTCCATGCCTTAGCGTCCTTAGCTTTTGTTCAGGAAACACGGACTGGTTTTAGGGCTGAGAGGGATTTAGTCCCCCCATTTTTTCACACATTTTTTATGACATCGGATGATCAGTTGCTTTTTAAAGCATTTAACAAGAAAAATTAAACTAAAGCATGTAATTCAACGTTTCGATGTTTCTAACATCATTACAGTCAAACCCCGCTCTACTGACACCTGCTTACACCTCATTATTACGGGCAGTTTGCTTTATCCCTGGGTAAGAAGGCCCTTACATTTTCTCTAAATTGAAGCCGCTTAACACGGACACCCCTTCAATACGGACACCTTCTGGAGGTTTGGATAAATTATATAGCATTCGTGCATGCTTAATTATTATGCAAATGTACCAATAGAGAAACTTTGCGCGACTGGGTCTGATTGCTCGTTTAACGCCTGGGAGGGGGGGGCGGGGAGGGTACTCCCTTATATTAGCTATATACGTATGAGCCGCCCTATCGGGTAGGGTTTTTGCGCCGTTTTGGTCTGAAAACGGGTATAGACTTTGCCCATTTTGGTTTGGAATCGGGTTGGGTTTTTGAGGGAACTACGGGAGTGTATGAAGGGGTTTATCGTTTTAATTCCAAAGGGAGTAAGAAAGAAAGAGAAAATATGCGAATTCGAAATGGATTTGAAGAATTTGTTTTGTTTGTGCTCTAATCTAAGGAATGATAACATAATTTCTGCCTAAAGGACAGATCTGACAAAAACGGGTATGGATGTTAAAGGTCTGGCCTGAAAACGGGTGTGGAAAATTACATTTTTTGGCCTGAAACAGGGTCAGGATTCGGAGAACCAGGCGGCACACCTCCACCAAGAATTGCCAGGGATACCCTCCGGGTTGAGGTCCTGTATAAACCGTATTTCGTAGACAGGGCATTCAAATTTATTCTTGTACTTTTTGAGGACTGAAAAATTGTCCGTGAGGGTTGGTTTCTCGACTTTAAGTGTCTCCAGATCGACGAAATTGAGGGTGTGTCTTCGCTGATGGGGTGATATGTATACTATAGGTGTCTATCAGTGAAACCGACGTAGTCCATATTAATCGACCACATTTAAATTGCTCATTTACGGAGAACATAAGAAAACAACTACAGAGTCGTGGCTCAAAAATAGTTGTTTCTCTGCAATCTGAACAATAACAAGCGATCATGATCTTGAACATTCTGAACATGACGATGCCTTTTGGCGGAGCAACACCTATGATACCACAAAATCTTGCACTTCTTTCCTTGCAGTGGTTTATATGTTGCAGTTAATTATTTATCTCCGGTGAGTTTAATTTGTTTTTTGTTTTTGGGTACGTTAAATGCCGTTGAAATAAGANGAAATGGATTTGAAGAATTTGTTTTGTTTGTGCTCTAATCTAAGGAATGATAACATAATTTCTGCCTAAAGGACAGATCTGACAAAAACGGGTATGGATGTTAAAGGTCTGGCCTGAAAACGGGTGTGGAAAATTACATTTTTTGGCCTGAAACAGGGTCAGGATTCGGAGAACCAGGCGGCACACCTCCACCAAGAATTGCCAGGGATACCCTCCGGGTTGAGGTCCTGTATAAACCGTATTTCGTAGACAGGGCATTCAAATTTATTCTTGTACTTTTTGAGGACTGAAAAATTGTCCGTGAGGGTTGGTTTCTCGACTTTAAGTGTCTCCAGATCGACGAAATTGAGGTTGTGTCTTCGCTGATGGGGTGATATGTATACTATAGGTGTCTATCAGTAAAACCGACGTAGTCCATATTAATCGACCACATTTAAATTGCTCATTTACGGAGAACATAAGAAAACAACTACAGAGTCGCGGCTCAAAAATAGTTGTTTCTCTGCAATCTGAACAATAACAAGCGATCATGATCTTGAACATTCTGAACATGACGATGCCTTTTGGCGGAGCAACACCTATGATACCACAAAATCTTGCACTTCTTTCCTTGCAGTGGTTTATATGTTGCAGTTAATTATTTACCTCCGGTGAGTTTAATTTGTTTTTTGTTTTTGGGTACGTTAAATGCCGTTGAAATAAGAGAAAAATGCAATTTACGTGAGCTAAAAAATTTACCGCAACATATACACGGGCATTGAATCCTCCAGGTCGACGCCATTTGTTGGCATGAGGGGTTCTTTATCGGTTCCTATCGATTAATATCGGAAATCGATATTCATCTATGATTGATATCGGTTACTATTGATTATTATCGAGTATCGGTTTATCTATTAACCACGTCAGGAAGTAAGAGACATCCCCACTGAAGCACAAAGGAACCGGAACAGAAGATAGTAAACGAGCAATACATTGTATCTGGCTCACGCATTTTTGAGAGACACAGAATACTTTAAGACGCAGAGATTGCACTTAAAAAATTTAAAATGTGTAACGGATGAATGCCAAATCATCTTTGAATTCTTCATGGGCCCGCTAATCCTATCAATACGGCAGAAACTGGACAAACAAAACCTCTGCCGCTTATTTTTCATGTGCTACAATGTTTTCGTGCGTATTTAATAATAAAATAAACCAAATGTTTTCCATTGATTAATTAAATGTACTTCAGAGTATATAACTGAAATAGTGTTTAAAAAACCAACAAACACACAAACTAATCGAAAACAAAGAAGCTGGTCTGAATTCTTGTCAGACTCTACATCTTTTCCTGCTAAGGTTGCATTTTCGCTTTTTTTTGGTTCTGTTTTGTACCTGTTTATAAGTGCTGTGTACCTACATCGAGAAATCAGCGCTGAAAAAAATGATTCACTCTTCCCTTGTTGACAGTTTTATAAGTTTTGCTTGGTTTAAAAAGTGCCCAAGGCCTTTAAATCCTCGGGCCCTTGCCATAATTATTCTCTTTGCCTAAACTTCAATCTTTTACTATTTGTTATCTCCTTTCGCTATGATTTTTTCAAGTCTATTAGATCAAGTATACATCGTAGTTTGAAAAGAAGGAAACTGATGAGTTTTTTTTTACATCCTGCTGATTATCCAGCTTATAATTTCCACCCTTTCTTCCTTTCTGATAGCCTGAATTTCATCAGGTTACTTCGAGTCGTTGTTACTCCCTCAGTAACTTGTTGAGAGGAGAAAACGACTCGAAGCAATCGGATGAATTTCAGGCTACCTTTCTGACCGTGATAAGTTATTTTCTGATAAACGTTCGGGTTAATATTTGAAGGTTAATAATTTCAATCATTAAATTACAAAAAGTGATTCTGGTCTGATGTATGAGCTGTATGGGGTAGGGGGGTTTACGGACCCACGGATCCTACCCCTGGATCAGCCACTGCCTAATCGGCTCCTGCCACTGCTACCTTGTGACTAGCACCTAGTAACCAGGCTGGCAACCAGCATACCCATAGTCTGAAATGAAAATCGGTTCAGAAGGCCCCAGTCACCTTACTAAAGCCTTCTTGTCAGTTTAAGTAAACCTTATATAATTTCTTATATACAACTCGGAGGACCATTTGAATAGAATGTCAGTCTAAGTGTTTTCCTAAACAATATTCGTGAGGTCCTCCCTAGATAACGTACTTGTTTTTGGTTTGGTCTGGTTTTGATAAGAAATATAGTTGTCAGAAACAGGATTCATCCTCTAAATTTACGGTTTCTCACAAAGTTCCACAATAACTGCTGACTCCAAATAAATCTTGTCTACTCCAACAGCTTCAACATCGTTCGCCAGCCATTGGCCGTGCCCTTCGTCATTTCGAACCAGTGTGCCATTTTCGTCTCTTCTGTAAATGTCGATGAAGGGGATACCCGCACGCCATTTTCGATGGTCTCTGCGTAATCCAATTGGCCAGTAGTTACGAGGGGCTTCACTGGTAACAGCGAAAGGGGAGGAAGGCAATTGATTCAATTCGTATATTTCGTGACTTTCCTCTAGTTCTGCATCTTCAATGTCTGGATACACTGCCTCGGTCTGGTATCGTGACAGCACACTCATTAGCGTGCACTCCCACTGTTTCTCAATTAAAAAGTCATACAACACTTTGTCTTCTCCTTTGAGCAGACGTTGTTGAAGCCCCTTGGAGATGTATTTGTGCTTTAAAATAATTCCAATATGAGAAGGTGAACCACTGACCTGTTGGCGAATCTTATACAGTTCATCGTGTACGTTGGCAAGATTTTTGGCAATCATGGAATGACTCTCTGTGCTTACTTCAAAATGTTCTTTTACAGGTACAGAATATCCCAGAATAAACTCGGCTCCACGTTGCTTGTGACGATCATTTGGTAGAGTTATGTTGTAGGTAACGGTAACTCTGTGTCCTTCGAGAACAGGTTTAATCTCGTGAATGCAGTTGCTGTAAAACGCGGCCCACTGAACTCTGTTAGCTTCTCCAGAACGCTGTGAGAAGTCAAATACGTGCTCTAAACCATCGTGGCTAACGCACAGTTCCCCTCCCTTGTGGGGTGATGGAAGGCAAAGGACAAGCGTGCCTATCATTTCATCACCAGAAGGACTGTCGGCATGGGGCTTAAAAAAGCCCCCTCCGTTGTAAACATTGACTTTGTAAGGATCAAGTTTCACATATCTTCCCGGAGTCAGGGTGTCTTCAATGTCAATACATATTCCCCCTGGAACAACTTCAAGCCCTCTCGGCGACGAACCAATCTTGAATCTTTCGGTTTCAATTTTGTAAGCCAGACGAACTTCGGAATCAAGCACTGTTTTCATTTCCCTTAAGTCTCCGAACGGTGCAGGACTGCAATATTTTAACAACTCTTCCACAGGAAGATCCGCCAGCTTGTATTCAAGCCAGTGCTCCTTGTCTTTTGTTGGCTTCACTTTTAAAGTAAGTTTATCAAAATCTGGTGGCTGTAAACTTCCTCCACAGCAAAACAAGGGCTTAGAGAAAACTTGCTCAAGACTGCCTAGAAGCGGGTTATATTTCTTGACGTCTTCCTCGAAACGGTATCCCCATTTGATGTGATGACTGTTAACGACATAACCTACAGGAGGATTTCGTATCGATCTTCCTACTGCTTGTTTGTACTGAGAGGGTGTTCGGTGGGTTGGTTTTTCCTGCCGCTTAGAAAAAGCTTCAGCCATTTTTCATTTTATGGGGTGTATGTCTGATTTTTTACTTGCTTTCTCAGTTATACTTTTTTCTAGGAATACGAAGTGAAAGCCCAATACCTGATTGGCTAACAGGATCACGTGCCTCTCTGCCTTTAGACACTTCCTCTTTTTCTCGGAAAATGGATGTAAATTATTTTGTTTTTCAAAGACTTATTTCCAGAAACAGGTTGAATCTGCGTGCGTTTTTCAAAACACCCGAAAATGTTTTGGTTTCAAAAAAGCTATTTTAAGAGCACAAAGTCCATTGGCAGAAATGCGTTTTTGCCAACAAGCCATC